CATAAACCCACTGCCCCCTAAGTTTCCTGTCTAATCATTCAACTTGCTTTGGTCCCTTTGATCTCATGTAGATTGTACCAGAGTCCAATGCTCAAGGCAGACATTATTTACTACTTTAGCGAAACTATTGTTTTTGTTTTAAGAGGACTTCAGGGAATATTTCTGGTTTACATTTTACAGATTATCTCAGGGTAATAGTTTTGCCTTCATAAATCAGCCGTGACTCCAGAAAGTCTGAAGTCTGTGAAGTTTTGAAATTCTGTTCTACATTGCTCCCCTTTTGATCAAGGATTATTTTATAAAATCTTTGATCAAAATGTTCAGTAATGGTAAGTAGCCGGCACCACCAGCTCTTCTGGTCTCCTGGCAAAGGAGGCCATTGTTCATGGCGTTAGCCCCACTCCACGTCCTCCTCCTGTTCCTGACGCTCCTTCCCTGTTGCTCCAGGTGAACAGAGACCATTGTCATGAGGCGCTGCCTTCTTGTTTCTGCACTCAGACTGTACACATGGGTGTTCTGGTGGTGATTTTTCTGTTTAAAATGGTCGCTGAGGACAGGGCTGAAGTGTCGTCTCATGTTGCTAATGCAAGAAGGCTGTGGTGTACCTTATGGAGAAAATGTGTGTGGTGGACAAGCTCTGTATAGTGTTCTTGGCGTTGAGTTCAAATCTTTCTCTTTGTGCATTAAGCTGACACTCACCTTCCTGTCCTCCTTTTTCACTTACAAAGACCCTGTGATTACACTGACCCCTCTTCAGGAAAATCCCCCATCTCAAGGTCAACTAACTAGCAGCCTTAGTTCCATCTCCACCCTCATTGCTCCACTGCCATGTTCACATAGTCATAGGCTCTAGGGATTAGGGCACGGCTGTCACTGGGAAGACATTCTTCTGTGAGTGACCATATTTAATTCCTTGCATTAAATCCCTGTTTACCTGAAATACCTAGAGCAATTTCTATTGTTCTCATTGGACCCTGATGGACACTCCCACTGGAAAAGTCTGGGATTAGTGGGATCAGGACCCTGAAAAGGCACCATGGATGGGAGCTCTCACCAGTGACTATGATCTTCAGGGGGTTGCTGTGTGCTGACCAGCCAGTGGAGTTTTGGTAAGCACCATAACATCTGTAGATTCCAGCATGTGCTGGGGTCACAGGGCCCATGACATAATCATTCTTGAGCAATGCATTCTGGAGCTCAGAGACAAGAGGCCCCTTTTCTGTGTACAGCTTGAACACAGCAAACCCAAGAGGAGAGTGACACCGAAGAGTCACACGTTGTCCTTGAGGAACGATTTGGCTCGGCCAGGCAGTCAGGGAGGGTCTGTCAGGACCACCTGAGTGAGAAGCAGGGACAGCCTTAGAGATGAAAATATGAAGTTTCTTCTCCCCTCACTGTGCTCACAGGCCCCTCTTTCTTTCTGATTGCCTAAGAATCTTCCAAAAACCCAGAATGCCCAAGACTATCTTGAAGACTTCCCAACATCAAATAGACATGGCATATGTTGCTACAACAAAAATGCTGAGCTAGTACCGAGTAATGAACTTCTACTAGATGTTGATAACACATTGGTTC